CAGCCACTTCGATCAGTGGCCTTGTAAGCGAAACGCGGGGGAGGTGAAAAAAGTGGAATTATGCAGATGCAGTACAGAGTGGCTCACACACAAGTCGCCACTGCGTCCTTCTGTAAAGTAGCGGTCTTGATCGTGCGTGTAGGACCATGTCAAAAATAGCCAAACTATCTGTTTCGGGGAATTAGAAATCTACGTTAACATGTACTTTGCAAGTAACTTACGAGTTCGCCTACTAAAAATGTTCAACTGAAGGTCACTAGGTGACGGCATAAGAGTAAACCAGAGGCTGAATGCCACGTCAGTCTTAAGTTTTAACCTCACATAGTCCAATGCATATTCAAATATCTTGACAGCTATTCAAGGGTTTTCGTCATATTGAGAACAGGTTCATTCGAAAGAAGACTGTGTCGACTCTCCTCAGACAGACATTTATGTGGCAGTGTATTTATGAACTCGAATGAAAATTCGTCAATACGAGCATATACATAAATTAATTTTTCTTTGGCTCTGATTCATAATATACTTTTTTAAAGTAACTAGCTAAACTTCTTTAGTGCTGTACGCTAATCGTGCTGGGTACCGTACTCGCGGTGGGGGGTTTTAGTTTACAAAAGAAAATAGGCGGTAAGCTGACAGGACCGGCCTAAAGTTTGCACCACAAAGATTAACCTTGTTGAGGACACAGATGAACGGCAACTTCATGCGGTAGAGCACACTGCACGCGTAAAGCATGTTGGACATGAAGGTGACCGGGTTGTGGCTTCGCGGTGCATCCATGACGTAGACAATGATCGTTGGGTAAGTAGAGGACTAAAAAAAGAAAAAAAAAGAAGGGATAAGGAGTCCATAAATATCACTTAACGGGTAATTCACAATTCATCCAAACGAAAAGGCAGTACTCCCAGACCTTATGACTTAACTTGCTCCCAAAATGAACGATGCTAGCAAAATCGATAGAGGCAACTACCTCGAAAAACAAAAGTGATAAACACACGTGGGACCATACATGGTCGCAATCCCCAGGCTAAAATAGTATATTACAATTGAGATGCGAAATCTTCGTCAGTGACCCGATCGGTATGTATGACTAGCTAGCAGCGATTGCTTTTGTGTACATAGAAAATAACAAGGACTAACTGCTACCCAATACCTGTGAATGCGCATGGCATACAGTAGTTGGGTTGACATCGTATGA